GATTTTTTATATTAGGCCTAAGGAAGAATAGTTTCTATACAAGATAAATTTGATAGGATTTTTTATATTAGGCCTGAGGAAAAATAGTTTCTATACAAGATAAATTTGATAGGATTTTTTTATATTAGGCCTGAGGAAGAATAGTTTCTATACAAGATAAATTTGATAGGATTTTTATATTAGGCCTGAGGAAGAATAGTTTCTATATAAGATAAATTTGATAGGATTTTTTTATATTAGGCCTGAGGAAGAATAGTTTCTATACAAGATAAATTTGATTTATTTAACTGTTGTGTTTTGAACGTGATTTTATTTAAAAAATAAAAGTTGCTGAATCCACATTTACGTTCCTTTAGGTTGTTCAGAGTATTAAGCCGACAATCACAAAAGTTGACCTTACAAACAGGGTACGCCAACGCTGAAATACAACGTTGAATTTTGGAAGAATTTCATTTTTGGCAAACGAAAGTTACAGTGACGTCACACACACAAAAAAAAAACCGGTAAGAAATGATTGTTTATAAAAGTGAATTTATCAGGAGAAAACTGTGATACGATTACGAACTGGAACCTCAAGAAAATGGTTTAAAATATGAAGCCGCTCGAACTTCCAAAGCTTACATATTTTATACTATAAACTATGCACGCACATTGATCACTAGGGGGAACTCGTGCTTCGCGTACAAAACGTTTTTCTTGGTTGTGATATTTTGTATTTGAATCAACAAAATTTATAAAATGTAAAAGCAGTATTGTATATTTAAAGTAATTAAACAGTTAAGTGACCTGCCTAGACTATTCACACATGTTAGATACGTAGAGTTTAATCGAATCTGATGGTCGTGCGGGGCGTCTCGATGACTGCGAGGTTACACCTAAGTGGGTTAAATCTATACCAACCCAACACCTCTAGTACAAAAGTCACTAAAGGTCTGATCAAAATGACAAACCGATCGACTCATCTAATAGAAACACCAGATCTGGCGACAAACCGATCGACTCATCTAATAGAAACACCAGATCAAAATTTGGGTATCGGGGAAAAAGTATTAAATCACATTAATATTGTCCCTGATCAACAGCCTGACGGTACCAGTTTATAAACAAATGAAAAAAATTCACACACAAAACCTTAACACAAACACTACTGTCTGAGATGGGGCTCTGAGGGAAATATTCCCCAAATACCTTTCCCTTTTCAGTGCATAATACCATCAACACTCATGGTGACGTCATTCGTACTTCTCTACTCCTACTTTGATTTCTGCATATTTTAATCAAGTTTAAAAAGCTTCCCATGCACGAGCACCTGTTACTCTTTATTATATAGATCTGATCATCATTTTGTTATCATCTGATTTGTTACACACATAGACCAATCACCCTTGTTACACACACATAGACCAATCACCCTTGTTACACACACATAGACCAATCACCCTTGTTACACACACATATACCAATCACCCTTGTTACACACACATATACCAATCACCCTTGTTACACACACATATACCAATCACCCTTGTTACACACATACACCTAGTTCCAACTAATGTATCTATTGTATATTCTTTAGTTTTACTGATCGTAAATAAGACATTTCTTTCAATTTCATCGTATTCCGATTTCTACTACACGGTTTACCAAACTTTTCATTTTCATTATTCTCCCCCACCCCTTTTTACTTTCACCAGTCTTCCAGATGGTAAAAACATAAATATAAGAACAAGGAACGGACGGTAAGGTTTCTGTTCATTGTACAATCATTCATATTTTATATATTCACGACCCACGTCGCTGTTACGTCATCGTCAGAGTAACCGAAAGTAACTCTATAGTAGTAATACATTCACTCAACAGAGTTGCATCTGTAAGTGACCGAACTCCCAACTTTCTGGTTGTTGTAACCTGTTTAATATTTACAAAGTTGTGTCATTAAGATCAATTACTTTCCCAAATACAGGCTGCAGATGATGAATGGTAGGTTTAGAGGTGGGGCGTTCTAGGCTTGCGCACACACACACACACACATCTGCCCTCCCATTTTTTCTTACACGTGTGGGGCTTGGTCGAATCTGATAGACGGTGGGCCCTATTTCTCCAGAAAGCTCTCTCTCGGAGTGAAGTACGTTTTACCTTTCCTACAGTGTTGTTTGTTTCGTATGTGTTCTTGGCTCTTTTTGGTCTTGTTAACTGAAGATTTGTATTGAAGTATCAACAATACTGTTTATAGGTACTCCTTCATTTAGTATCAAAGTTGACACGACTGTTGTGAAATCTCTAGACATAAACATATAATATACCATAATCTTTAAACTGTTTACTTGTTTTGTTCTCTAATTTACGATTTTTTACCGGTTACGTGACTTGAAAAGTCACTCTTCACGATGTAATTTTAAAAAAACGTTTTATTGTCCTTTCTGTGGCTCCTAGTAACAGTTGTACAGTTACAACTCCACCGTCGACGATCAAATATTTAAAAAAACAACCCGTGTCGAATTCATTTCATGATTTGGTTTAGGGAAAAGTTGGAATTGTGCAAAGGTACTTTGTATAGGGAATAACAGAATGCACATTGTCTATAGAACTACATTCTGAAGAGTGACCTTTGAAGTAACGAAACCGATAGAAAATAATAATGAAGAGAAAAAAACCCAGAAAAGTTCAAATATTTTAGTATTTTTTTTACTTCAATCCACTTGCATGTGTTTTGTTTAATCTTTACCTATACATTTCTCGTAGAAAAAAATCAATAATAAAAAAAAACTCCGTAAGAAGTTCAATTAAAATCACTGGTTCATCCACTTCATGAGCCTAATTAAACTCTTAGAACGAAAACAGTATGGCTATTCCAGACGAAAGGCGGATCATAGTTGGAAATATCTATTTGTATGCCGCTCTATTCTGACACTCATAACCCTATTCAACAGGGGATAAAAGACTTACCTTTCATTGTCCGTCACGAGCACTTGTGCACTCAAAAAGGCGGAGATCCAGTGGTGTACTAATACGAATCTGTACACGATTATGGCCCACCCTGTACACGCGCGCTTCACGTGATTTAGTAATAAAACCCTTATAAGGCAACAGTTAATTATGAATATCATTTTTTAAAAAGAACAAGCGCTCCAATTTCAAGTTCAGAGCTACGTGACAGATGTGAAACTAAGACGTTGTTCAGAGCTACGTGACAGATGTGAAACTAAGACGTCGTTCAGAGCTACGTGACAGATGTGAAACTAAGACGTCGTTCAGAGCTACGTGACAGATGTGAAACTAAGACGTTGTTCAGAGCTACGTGATAGATGTAATATTAAGACGTTGTTCAGAGCTACGTGATAGATGTAATATTAAGACGTTGTTCAGAGCTACGTGATAGATGTAATATTAAGACGTTGTTTAGAGCTACGTGATAGATGTAATATTAAGACGTCGTTCAGAGCTACGTGATAGATGTAATATTAAGACGTTGTTCAGAGCTACGTGACAGATGTAATATTAAGACGTTGTTTAGAGCTACGTGATAGATGTAATATTAAGACGTTGTTTAGAGCTACTTGACAGATGTGAAACTAAGACGTTGTTTAGAGCTACGTGACAGATGTGAAACTAAGACGTTGTTTAGAGCTACGTGACAGATGTGAAACTAAGACGTTGTTTAGAGCTACGTGACAGATGTGAAACTAAGACGTTGTTTAGAGCTACTTGACAGATGTAAAATACACAACCTGGAGATACATTTTGTTTATTGAACATAGTAGAACCTGGGGATTCGCAAGATAACACACAATGACATGCGATGCTTGTGACGGATCCAACTTCTTTTCGTGAAATGAAAAACCTCTAAATTTAACCAGAACTCAGTTTTAAAAAGCAATCCCAGAAAATGGAACAGAAAGAGGAAGACTGGTAGATAGACTGATAAATAGATAGACAGATGACCTCATGTCTCTTTTGAGTAAACGATCATCAAAATTTCTAATTTTCTCTTCTTGTAGCTTGCGGCCCCACCCTTAGCCTTACCCCACTTTTCAAATATATCGTTAATCGGGTCCCCACACACACACATTTACCCCGAAGGGACATGTTTATCTGTCCTACGCATGATTACCAGGTTCATCCAATATTTATTGTGCACGTATCGAGCAATACACCTTTTTTATTAGTTGAGTTAAACAAATATCATTACAAGATAAAATGAGTAAAAATAAAAAGAACAGTCGATGATCGAAAAGCTAGTCAATCTTATGGTTTGAACTTTCTTATTGTTTGTCTAAAGTCTTATTAAGGTTTAATCTTATAAGACTATATATATATCGGATTACACAGCACCGAGAAAGCTCCATCTAGCGAAAAAGAGTGATTTATCACAACAATAAAGAGCGCATGAATCATGAATTTCTTTTACTGTACTATTATAAAAGCAAGTACAGGTTTGGGCTAACAAATCATCCAGTACGTAGGCGCTTTTGCTTTAGACGTCTAGATAATCAAACCGCCATTGCACGTTAAGAAAACACATTATGTAGACGTAATAAAGTTCTAAAAGTAAAGAGGAAGGCATTATAAAATATTACACGTGCTTATTAATAAGTTCAGCTCCCCCCCCCATTGGCTCAGCAGTAAGTCTAAAGGTTTATAACGTTAAAAACAGGGTTTCAATCCCGTGGTGAGCACACCACAGATAGCCCTTCGCGTAGCTTTGCGCTTAACAATAAACAAGTTCAGAGAAACAAATATTCACAAAGTAAGGTCAGCAGAAAAAAATAATTCCGCTAGAGGGTGTGATGATATATGAAAAAAAAAACTGAAATTTTGTCTGAAAAAAGTGACAGACTTTATAATAGAAATTATTTAACACTCGAAAAAGGTTTTTAAAGAAGTATAACAAAATAAACTGGAAATGTCATTCTGTTACGGCCATTATGTAAATATTCTGTAAATCCTGTAAAGAAACAAAACACGGACCAAAGCAACAACCTTACAGATTCTCCTTAGTTACATTTCTATACACCTTCCATCTTTGTTTATGTGTGTTTTTATTCATTTACTAAGCACAAGGCTGTAAAATGGAATGTCTGTGCTCTGCCCACCGCAGGTATCGAAATCCGATTTTTAGCGTTATAAACTTTCGGACTTACCACTAAACTACCTGGCGCCCTTTTTTATTTGTTTCTTATGACAGGAAATAACTAAATGTGTAATTCGAGGAATAACTTGATGGTCAGTCCTGACAACAAATAAACTTTCTGGATTGAATAAGAGACAGAGAAGTTTTGAAATTTTAAGACTGTCCAATTGCTTCGTCGCTAGGTGTCGCAATAAAATCTTAAAAAATGAGCTAATTAAAGACAAAATGAAATAACTATTTAATATCTGTGTCTGTGCATCAGTTTCATCTCATAATTGTGTGACCTAAGCCTAACGAACAAACAAACAGGTACGGTAGCAACAGAAAAATATTTTATTCCACAAAAACTTTTTAAAAAAAAAGAACTAC